AGGTAGTGGACAAATCGTGTTGTGTAGTGGTAAAAACAATACAGATTCATTGTAAGAATATACCGTTATTTAGAAATAATAATGTATTGTATATACAAATTACAATAAACATAATATACAAACCTTGGCAAAAATATAATCACGTAATGTGTTGTATGACGATTTTTAGCATAACGATAACTCTATAACATATTCTAAAATATATCAGTAAAGTTATTATGGTGTAATATCGTAGGTTCGTTTTTAGCTTTATGAGCTACACAAATATGCGCAGTTGGTGGAACTAATAACATGCATATGTGTCCTAAATGTTACTCATTTTGATTCGACGATTCGAACGTTTACCTACATATTATGATATGTTATGTACTATTAATAATTGTTATATCCTAATAACAAAACAAGAATTACGATTTAAGATCATTACTTTAAAATAAAAATTTGATATAAAAAGATGTCATGTAATAATGGTTCAAAATAATATAACTTTTGGGCTCACACTTTTGATAAGATATTACCAGGAAAAATGTATTGTACAATTGATAGCGTGCCAGAAATATATCCAAATTTAATAAGATGTTATTATAAAGATAATATTTAATAATTAGAAAATGTAAGACTAATGTTATTTTTTCTAATTGTTCCATATATATAAGTCCTGTATGTCTATAGAAACTGAAACGCCACGAGAGATTACTTTTACTGTTTTCTAAAACGTCGAAGATTTTGCAAATATATAATATTAGGGGATTCATAAATAATAAAGAGTCACATTCGTTTTATTGTTGGGAATTCAGTATATTTCTGAATTTAAATTTAAAGTAAAACTACGGTTGTAGTAGGTTTATTTTAAAATATTATAGGTATTATATTATATTAGAATGTACGCCATGTGATATTTTTTGTTCAGTTTTTTACTGAGTGATAATAATTAAATATAATTAATCTTAGTTTTTTTATTCTGTTTTCACGTTGTCGCAGTTGATTTATTTATTTAAAAAAAACTTATTAGATAAAAAATAAAGACGATCAATTAAACTTAAGAAAAAGCTTTTTAATCAGTTTCAGTATAATTGAGCATATTATTGCAGCTACATAACAATAATAACACACTAATGTGAATACGTTTTAACTGTCCTAATTGTAAAACTGTTTAATACGTTTTGTATGAACGGTTACTAACGACTCTAGATCACATCATCTTATTCATTGTGACGCGTGTTAGTTACGATATTAGTATTCAAGTCCGATTTTAGAAATTTTAAAAACATGACAAAGCACACTGATAATTATCTTGTATCGTAAGATTAGTCATAATTGTCTGTTCCGTTAAAATGTGTTATGATATTGAGTAATTATTACTGCGTTTTCATTCTATAATAGTAATTTACGGTTAGGTACACGCGCACGTTTCATTGTATGGTTAAATCCGTTGAGTCATCCAGAGCTGAGTCGTAAATATATAGGAGCGTTTTTTAATTTTAATTTTTTATTAATAATGAAAATAACTATGTCAAATTCATAAATAATTTATAACTGCTTTAAAGTAATATTTTTAAAATAATAGATAGGTACAATGAGACATGTGACCTTTTATTATTATATACCGATGTCAGTATTGATATGTCATCATTATCGTATAATAAATATTAAATCAGTGTTATTTGCATTTTAATTGCCTCAGGCCCGGTTTTTCAGTAGTATGTCTAACTGCTAGATAAGTAACTGTTGGATAAATTTATTTGGCAGATAAAGTTATGGTTATGCTGCTTTCCGTTTATCAGTAGTAATCCTTCAGATAGTTATCTCCTAGATAATTATCTAGAAGTTAAGGAATTGATGATGGATATTAATTACTTTGGTACAAGAAGTCACTCTCGTAATTGATCAAAATTACTCTTATCATTATATTTTATTGCATTATCATTATGTAGATAGCTAGGTATTGCCCATTTGCCCGTGTTATGTGTTAATATTTTTTCACATTTTTCAGTTCATAATTAATAATTATTCATAATTAATATTTTTAATTATTTTAATAGAATATACATAATATAATAGGTATACTGTATACATCTATTGATATTATGGAAAAAAAAATAGCTTCAATAACTAAAAAACGTGTAAGGTCGACAAATTTTTCCTTTAGTGAGAAGGAATTGCTGTTGAAGTTTGCACTTCAAAAAAAAAGAGTTTTAGAGAATAAGGAGTCAAATGCTGTATCATGGAACGACAAAAACATAGCGTGGGTCGGTATTGCCGAAAAATATAATGCTGCAACACTTGGCTGTGTACGTATCATTTTTTATAAAATAGATATTATAATATATTTTAGTTTTATTATTTTTACTCAACAATCATGCATTTTTTTGTCCTTTTTTGATACCCGTCACTGAATTTATTGATTTAACAATTGTGTTTTTTTTATTTTTGTGAGAACAGCTTACATAGTAAAAAAAAAACTACGAAAAATCTGAAGGAAAATAAAAAGTTGTGTCCAGTCTAAATCTAAAAACATGTATAATATGTTAAAAAAATACCCTTATCATCAATTTTGAAGGAGCTATCTGGGTTGAAAATTGGATCTAATTACTATGCACTTAAGCCTTAGAAATTAGAATAGTATTCTATAATAATATTTATTTTACTAAAATTCTTACTTAAGAAGTTATTTTAGTTATTATTTTGTTTAATCGAAATCCTACTTATTATAGCCGAGAGATCCTACTAACTTGAAGCAGAAGTATGAGAGTATTAAAAAAATGCTTAGGGGGTCCAAAAAAACTTTATTTGAAACTGGCGGTGGACCACATGTGAAACCTTATGAAGCACAGAGTGATTTAGAAAATGAATTATATTCTATAATCAGAATCTCAGCAGAAGGTTTACCTAGTAATTTTGATAGTGATATTCCAATCCGTAAGTTCCTACTCCTTACTACTCCTATTAATAAATACAATTTGTTATATATTATTCTGTAATGTCATACGTCCTACACTCCTACTGTACAAAATCTTTCTCTCCTTTGTAAAATGTTAAGTCCTATAGGCTATAATTTATTGGTTAAACAATAACACTATTCTAAATTCATTTTTTTTTTTATTATATTATACTTGTTAGATAAATATGAAACTTTTATTCTTATATTCTTTTATAACTTTTAGATTACCAACACAAAATCCTGCCTCATACAAATCCATAATTCTTCTCTCAACCTTTTCTAAAATATTTGAGACAATTCTTTTAAAAAGACTCCTTCCTCTTGCTTCTTCTAAAAACATAATACCACACACACAATTCGGATTCAGACCAAAACACTTGACATTGCATCAATTACACAAAACAGTCACTATCATATACAGCTCCCAGGATAAAAAACAGTTCTGTATAGCAGTATTACTTGACATCTCCCAAGCCTTTGATCGGGTATGGCACAATGGACTAATGCACAAACATAATAAGTTTTTAACCTCCCATTATTTTCTCTTAATAAAATCATATGTGTCAAATCGTTCTTTTAATGTCTGCTTAAACAATACCTACTCAACCCCTTACACTATTAGAGATAGATTGTATAGATTGTAAATTATTTCAATTATAAAATTTGAAAAAAAAACTATTAGAATGAGATAAGCCTGAAAATATTTTTTGATAATAAATGTATTGTATATTTAAATTTATTGACATTATGATGAAAACATTTACTTAATGCATTATTTTCCAATTTATTTCTATGAACAAAAATCCATCACAACACAAGAAACAAATACGGACGATTGTGTTGAAGAATATGTTGTAAATGAGGAGGAGTTTGATGATGATGCGCCATCAACGCATGCAAATTTGTCGTTTACTAATCGTAATTATTATTATTTCTGTGCTTATTTACTTCATAATATTGTATTATGAACCTTGTGATAAATATAATTATAATTAATATAATAAATATAATATAATTAATATTGATACATTTATGATTTATAGTAATCAAACAATTTCCACCAACTACATCTTCTTCACTACAAGAGATAGATATAGTTGATACAGATATAAATAAAGAATCATATATTTTTACAGATGAAAATCAAGAGCAACGTAGGTCTAGATTCAAATATTAAACAAAAATAAAATGTGTAGAACTTTAATAGCAAAATGCCTGAAATTATAAAAATTTAATTACTGTTTATCAGATAATAATCAAAACAATTCAACTTGGTCTCCTTTAAACTCAACAAAAATGCTAAGAACAACATCTAAAAATCCAAAATTATTATTTAATAACAGTCATCAAAAACAATGTGAGCTTTTATAATTTTAAATAAAATATTAATTTTCTGTTACATGCAGACATTTAAATATGTACTACAATGTCTTCTTAAAAATTTATAGCTAACAATAAGAAACATTGCATGACCTCAGCCGGTGAAAAGTTTGAAGACCTTGCAGAGACCAAAATGGAGTTGGTATCTCTGCAACAACAACTTGTTAGACAAGAACTTTTACAGTCGTCTATTGAACACGAAACAAAATTAAAATATATGGCAGAAGAACATGCATTAAAACTTGAGATCTTAAGAGTTGAGTTAGAAATTAAAAAAAAAAATAATTTAATTTAATTTAATATAAAGCTAATAAAAGCTATAAAAAGCTTTTTTTTTAACTTTCTTAAAATGTTGAGCCATCAATAATAAATAATAAACAGTACAATTTTAATTCCTAAATATAATTGTATTTTCATTGTAATTATAATTAATATAAAATTGTGAAATAAGTAAAAAATAGTTATAAAATATATTATTATTAATATCAAATAGTAATTAAAATGAAATAATAAAATATATTATTACTAATAGTGATACCTAATAGTAGTAATATTATATAAGTAAAAAATTTATATTTATATTTATTTATAATAGTATATAATTCCTAATTTTTTAAATAATAAAAGTTTTATCTAAGCAAATCTAAATTTGTATGTTTTAAATGAAGATACCTAATGTTTATAGTCTAAAGAAATACTCTCTTATCAATTGTTGTCTTGCACAACCTTCTTCATCTATTACTTCATGATTAACATTGATTATTTCATTTGGTGGTAATACTATGTCTATGAGATCAGGGGCTTCTAAATCATTGTTATCGCATGCAATATTATGTAATATAGAACAAGCAACAATTATAGCTTGTGATGTAGTTAGCTTCAAGCGTAGACCAAGAGATAAAATTGGGAATCTACGTTTAAGAACTCCATATGTTCTTTCTACTGGATTTCTGGTTCTAATTATTGACTCATTGTACAGCTCTTCAATATTTCCCCTTGGATTTATAAAAGGAGTCACAATATGACTGGTGTTTTTATATCCACTATCTGCAACAATTAAGCTATTTCCCCATTTACCATTAACCAATTGACTGTAAATATTTGAATTTTTGAAAATTGTTTGATCATGGCAAGATCCTGGCCAGCGAGCTACAATGTCCATTATTTTTAAATCAGGCGAAACAACTGTTTGGACGTTCAATGAAAAATATCCTTTTCGGTTTCGAAAATACTCAGCATTATGACCTCCTAAAATATTATTATAATTATTATTTTATGTGATACATAAAAATATGTATCTGCTAGTAAAAAATAGTAAATTTGTTTTTGCAACATCATAGGCAGTAACACCCTAGGGCATTAAAAAATAATAATTGAGGAGGTGTTAGTACAGATGTTTTATTGGTGATTAAGATACCAGACTTCCACCTGTGTATAGCATTACAATATAAATTCTTTTTATATGAAGTTAGTAATAATAGTTAATAATAATCAATAACCTGGGCTTTGAATTCGAATATGTGTGCAATCTATTGCACCTATAGCTCTCGGAAATCTAGCAATTTTGTAAAAACATCTCTGTAATGTATACACTTCTTCATCTGTAGTTGGCATACGAATAAATTGATGACATAGGCTTGCAATAGCTGTGCTAACAGTACGAACAATTACACATGCAGAAGATTTACTAACACCGAGAAAGTCACCAGCAGTAATAAGAAAACTTCCTGTTGCATAGAATCGCAGTGTCAATAATAATTTGTCTATGGGTGCTATTGCACAATTCCTTTAGAAATAAAGAGAAATTAAAAAATATTATTAAAAAATTAAAGATTATTAATTGGAATTGTATAGACCGATTCCAACATGTATAGTAGGTTGCCATTTAAAAATAGTATGGTGTATCATATTGATGTGAGATAATTATAAATAAATTTAGAATGGTGTAATGAATGTTGGTTTAATACTTGAAAATACTTGCAAACTTATATTTTAATTTCATAAATACAACATTTTACCTTACTATTTTTGTACAAAATAGGAAGTACCTACAATTATTTTTATATTTTATTCGTTTAAAGCAACTTTTTAATTTTTTTATCCAAACTTACCATTGGTTTTCTACAGATATATTGTCCGTTATTAATTCTAAAACTTGTTCAACAACAACTTTAGAAAGTCTAAACCTTATCCTAAAATCATGATCATCCCATTTTATCATATGATTAATTCTATCTCGTACCGTGTAAGGTCTTCGACGATAATTAATAAACTCTAATTTTTCGTCATCGTCGTCATCAAATAAAAGATTTGGCTGAATATTCATTATATTATAATAGTTATTTATTCTAAACAAAAATTTAGGTCAGGTACACATAAAATTTATATATTTTGAAACAAAGTTGTACAATACAATCATATAATAATGAGGTAGTTTATTTTTTTAATAATAATATAATAATAATGTATAAACTCTATGTTTTAATCCTTCAGTTAAACATTTAACTAGTAGAAAAAGTAATCGATAACTTAACCAACACTTTATCCTACAGTTATATTTAACCATTAACTGATAAACTGAAAAGTTTCAGTTAACTCTCTGTTAAATTTAACTGATAGTTAAATGTCTCTAACTAGCAGTTAAATATGACTGAAAAACCGGGCCTCATCAATAGTAATAATATAATATAACAAAATTAACGGTGGTGGCGTGACTTTAAATGTTATAATACAACGATATGATCAGAAATAGATATTTTTTTTATTCCTATCGATTCGAAAATTGAGTACTCATACGAAAATTATACGCGTGTTCCAATTGCACCACCTGTTCGCACATTCATCCAGACTTGTAAATAGTTATAGACATGTATACTCACATACATATTTCAGTTGCGTATCCAAGATTTTGTTCAGTGTATTTACCATTAATCTCAAATGGCAAATGCAGGTAACAAAAAACCTCAGTTGGTCTATATTATTTACTATGAAAAATAGTTAACTTGACATTTTGTGGTGGGAGAAGGGGGTGACACATTTACGCACACGAATAAAAATTGAAAACCACATACTAACCACTGTCCACTAGTCGAGAACTGTAGCATATTTATAATATTTAACGTCACAATAACATTTTTAATAATATTTTATATTCGTTAACCCTACTCCTTCCGTTTGATATGAATGAAATACTCTTTAAATTTGAAAACAGATCTCTCCGTATTGCTTATATTGGGAGTGGGTATATCGTGACGAGTGAAGGAATGAAAACAATTCAGGAAAATTCTCAGGGAAGTTTTTACGGCCAAAAGCCGATCACCTGCCGGGTCACGCGATGATGGCCTTTGAAACAAAAACAAAACTAGGACGACAAATAATAATAATAATATAATTGAAATATTATCTCATTTTGGGAAACAATTTCACCGACGCTGCTGCAACGATGTGGCGGGTAGGGTGGTTGGGTCGTCGAGCTGTTGTTCTATACCGTGTCCATCTCCCACTCTTCTCCTCCCCGAAATAAAATTCTGCGAAAAAAAATAAACACCTCCGGTCGACCCACTGGCGCGTTTGCCCCGGGCGGTTTTGGAACGTTCCGGGCGGACGCGTTTTGACAATCGTCTGACACACACAATAATGCACACACGCACGTTACTATACAACAAGTATTATAGGTATAATAATGTCGTATTGTGTTCTCGAGGTGGTTTTCAATTTTTTAAGGCACAGTGATTCATCCGTTGGCTGCCACTGATTAGACACACACGAGGAATAGAATATGTACAACACAGTACAAAATTATATCATATTATATCATAGTGGCATAGTTTCTGGCTATAAATACGAGGGGCCGGTATAGCGCCGGTACATATATCGCGACCGGAGAAAACTGCAACCACCTAGACGACGACGATGTAACGATTATTTATCGAAAACCCTATTTGTACAGATAAGTAAATATATAAATACTAATAATAATCAGTAATAAAATGTCAAACCATACGTGCAATGTCCTAGAATGCAGCCGATATCATTGGGTATGACAAAATCCACAATTTTCTATGTCGTTATGATAATGCACTTCAAATATATTTATTTTGAGTTTGTTCAAAGGTCCTATAGGAACTATTTCGGATTTTAAACCTAAACTCAAAAGCCCCTCAGCGCTCGAAAATGGCCGTTTGTCGGTGCGCCGCAATCGTAACATAACTTATAATGTATTCACCCTTTTTGACCGCGAATATTGTTTTTTTTTTCCAAGCCTGATACTATTTCGTATAGGTACCACGTATCTATATATACCTACATGTCACATACTCGCACACGTATCTACATCACGGCGAAACGGCCAATAATAATAATAATAATAATAATAATGATTTGACGATATCGTCTCCCCGAATATAATAATATTACCTATATTATAGCCGTATATAGGTAATATTATTATACAGACTCACTCTGCGAACGTTGACGGCTATTTACGTTTAAACTGTCCACCGTTACTGCGAATATAATATGGTCGAATCGGACCGCTATTATACGTTTCGTTGTACGTACATGCATACATACATATTTGATATAATATTAATATGCATATGAGCTTAGCATACAGAAATACGCTCGTTTACGGGGGTGGACCGCTCGTAAATAACTGGGAAAGCGTGAAAATTGTCGAGGTGGTGAAATTTCGTCGTCGTCAACCCCGATGCGAAAAAGGGTGAATAATAAAATGCGTAAAAGACACAGCGAGCCCGACGACACACGGCGGTGCGTGCATAATATTTCAAAATAAAAGTTTCCCATCAACGATGCAACCTACCTACTCACACCTACTTATAATAAATAACGGAGAGATACGCATAGAGATATTCGGAAGACGAAATTTGCACACCGAAAAACAGCAAAACGAATAAAAATCATTTCTTTTGCACTATTTCACCATTTCGAAGAATATATTACACGACATGCGATATACATATATACCCTGCAATACATAATAATTTGTTTTATTATATATAAACAATGGCAGAATTCTATGCACAACTGTTGTAGAGACATCAAAACAATTCACTAAAAATAATTGTGTTTACTTCGTATGTACATAGAAGGTCTATGTAATGGTGTATATAATAATATGATCTATGCATTATGCAAAACCACCTACCACGGTATCATGGTTATAATATAATATAATATTAAATTTAGATTTAATACGTTCATATTACAGTATACCAACTGAAATTGTTCGGTCACCACGATTTCGGCTGTCTGTAAATTACGGTGTTATAATAATAATATATTACAAGTATATTCATACATAGGTAATACACATATAATTTTATACAATTGTGGTGGCCACAATCGAATGACAAACACGAGTATTCGAGTTTACGAGGGATTAAAAAAACTGAATAAACAGTACCTGAGATGTGTATAGTGTATTTATTGTGTATACGACACAATTAACGCATTACGTTTATCATATTATAGCCATAAAGGTACTGATAAACATATTATCTTTGGAATAAGTACCGTCCAGTTTTGTATATTATACTTATTTTTTCATTTATCCTCGCTGATTAGAAATTAGAGGTGAACGAAGTTTTTGCACAAGGCATACACTTTATAATTTATATACATGATTGTATATTAATATTGTGATGTATTTAATATTTATTGATATTATTATCATAATAATTTGAAGTGTTCGATTAAAGAGACGTGTATTGCCATATTATTTCGGGCTGTGCACTCGACAAACTAAAATAGTAAATACTTCTCCGATATTTTATGCTTATTGTTTCGTTCATGGTGCTTATAATTATTATTAATCACTGGACGACGTTAATGCGTTACTTTAAAAACTCCAAAACGGTTAACTTTTTATGCCAAGTTGGGTGTGTATGTATATTTTTTAACTTATACAGAGTGAATGTACAAACACGTGTTTGGGAAAAAATCAAATACTGCCGAAAACACGATTTTATTTGAAGAACCATTTATTGTGCATGTGTGTGACCGTCATCATAAGTTACCGATATAATACAGACTGGCGACGGTAGATGTTTTTTTAAAATTCACCGGAAGTTATTTCTGCTACACGTTTCGCATCGCAAACCACAGAATTCTAACACGTTTCAATTCGCGTCTTTCGCTCCGGCATACATACGCCACGCGCATTACCATAACGCTGAATTTTCGTCGATTGTGTTCACGTTTTGTACTTGCAGGGAATGAGAGGCATACAGTATAATATATGTATCTTAATAATCATATATTATTAACAATTAATAACCGACTGAAATTATAATTGTTAATTAACAATTAATATCGGAGTCGGAAGTACATACTTACGGGTTTTCAACGAGATGTGACAAATATTACACTCACAAAACATGTAATACCTAGACAATTTTATTTAACAAATTGTTTGGATACCTACGATATACCATTATAGTTCATATAATTTTCCGTAAATTTTCGTTCCGGATATTATTGTTTTTCGACCTTTATACTTTATTTAGTTTACCCAGAGTATATAATATATATCAAACAGCGAGGGTACACTTTGTTACATAACGTTGTATTATAGGTAGAGTCGTAGAGATACCTCGCCCAACAGGTAATTTCTACTATAGTTTATATTAATAGGTATAATATAGGTACCTACGTAATATATTATAATATATACCAGATACCTGGGTACCTACCATTATCCCAGCAGTCTGAACATTCAAGACCCTAACGGTAAAATCTGTCTGTTATTTGTACCCCGTGATAATGATATATATATATATATATTAAAATATTTATTTTATTATATTGTATTTGTATACCTAAGAGTAAACCCATATTTTTGATTCAGAATATTTACCTAGAGTTGTTCCCCTCACCATTTTATATTAAAAGTTTATTAATACAAATAAAACTATATTCGTATTCAATGTTGCGTATTAAAAAGAAAAACTTAAAACTTATCGAAACAATGAGTGTATACAGTACAATATGAAAATAATCAACTTTTATAATATATTATATGCTGGTCTCGATGATAAAATTATAATAATACAGGTACAGGGGAACCGGGTATTAAGGAGTTGCTGCAGGACCGAGGGCAGAACGCGTAGGATAAAAATGAAAATATAAAACACAATCATATCATACAGAGCGTAATATTATATTTTAGAGGGACACGGCCGATTACACTCGTTTCGATTTGCCCGCTCGCCAAACCCGAACTGTGCTGCGTGTTTGTTTAAGTAATTTTATTATTCGGCCAAGCAGACGCCCGGTGCATATAGATCTCCCCGCGGCGACCGCGAC